TTGGGATTGACTGTTAACTGAGCCCTAGGATTCTAGGGTAAGGTTTTGGCCGACCCAAATCTAGGCCAGGATTTGGGCCGATCAGGCCTGTCATCAATTTTCAGAAAATCTGTCATCAATATTTGGTGAGAATTCTCACGTGGGAGAATTCATATTTAAAAATATTTGATGTATACATAGAAAGTGTGTGGCACAGTAAGTGTCGCACGCTGCAACACTATTGTTATAACCAGTGCGAGAACTTATAATAGGCTGTCGTGTACGTCTAGAACAAGGCTACGAAGTACTCACAATAATATATGTATATATATGTATGTATGTATGTACATATATATTTATGAATTAATATGAATATATATATATATATATATATTATGTAAGCATATATATATGTATGTATGTATGTATGTATGTATGTATGTATACATATATATATATATATATATATATAAATATATATGTATATATATATTCATGAATAATTAACTACGCGTGCAGAAAGTGTCGGAGCATAGACCAATTGGGGCAAGAATAGCACCTGTTTTTACAATTGTCTTTAACATTATTAGTTCATAATATATCATGCAGTTCGCCACCAATAGAACTCCGTGAGTATGTTCACATCAGTACACAATGATAGATTCCTTCATCAAAATGTCATATGGGTCTTGGTCAGCGTCGTCACATTGTAATTCGTTTATTTGTTCTATTCCGCTCTTATATCAAACATATGTTAATACGTATTGCCATTTGTTTATGGAATGTACGTCCATCCTTTTCATATACTTCACATGCATGTTATCTGTTACCATACCAATATCAAATTTATATCCATCCCTTCCAGTCCTCGGTTAAAGAGCCTATAGTAGCGCTACTACTGGAACAGGTGCGTAAACTGTTCGAAAAGAGACCTGTCTGGACGAGGGTGGCAATTGATCACGAAATCAAACCGCAGTTGAAGATATTCCTGAGGGATACCCTCCATCAAGTAGCATACGTGATGACGAAGGGTGAGTTTAACTGATAAGTATCTAAATGTACGCTTAACAACATTTTTATATATGTATATTTATCTTATCAATAAATAGTTATAAATTCAGATATATGCATATATACCATGTATTTATCTATAGCTATATACATATGTATATATATATGAGTGGGCGGTTGGCTGTATGTGTATGTATGTAGGTTTGTGTGTTTATATTTATACGTATATTATGTATGTGTGTATATGTATATACATGTGTATATGTATATATATATATATATATATGTATGTGTATAGGTATATGTATATGTGTATAAATATATATATGTATATGTGTGTATATATATATATATATATATAATGTGTGCCTGTGTGCCTGTGTGTATATGTATATA